TAGTATAGATCTTCTATGCTGTAGGAGAAATATAGAAACCTTTCCCAAAGAAATAAGCCAATAGGAAAAAATGGATCTAGAAACAAAGCAAGGAACAATTTATTGTTGCAAATTATTACCAAATATAGCAGATAAAAGGCATTAACACATAGATTACCATCTTAAAAACTATTTATTCCCATTTTATCTCCTCTCAGCTGTGGCACAAGAAAGGAAACCTTAAATTATTGTTGGTCTTAAGTGCAATAACATTCCCTGGTAAACATATTTCTCATAAAAATTTCATCCAAAATCAAGCTTTATTATGTAAGAATAGTAGTATAGAACTGAGATGAATTGCGTCTCTTGTTTCAAGTGCACATCAGCCATCAAAATGAAGGATCTATGGCTAACTATCCGATATCCCCTCTAGCTGGACCATTTGGTCGGGGAGAAGGAGGCTTATAACCATCTCTCATTACCCTTCGGTGCATCCATTAAAAATAAATATAAAACATTAAAAGAAAAAAAGAAATAACAAATTTTATTAAGCAAAATAAGTTTATTTTTAGAAAAAATATATAACATTACATTAAAAAAAGAAGACAATAAAAAATAGAAAAAACGCATACTCCCTTATTCATCAAAAGATATAATTTTATGAATTAATGGAATCCAATGATGGATCTAAATTTCCATGATGTTACCCTTTGTCTTTGTTACACTTCTATTTTTTTTTAATATCATGTTTAATTCCCCAATCGGTTAATTCATTCTCAAAACATCCTCGTGTCTTTGCTGCTTACAAGGTTTTATAATTTCCATGATGAATCTAAATCAATTTCCAATACTAGCTGTAAAATTTGAAACTAAAAAAATGGTATAAATCTAGGAAAACTAATAAACGGTCTAAATAATTCATTACAATATACACAATTTTTAGAGCGTAAAATTCTAATTTTTTTCACAACTAATATGTTCTAGATGAGATGATCAACATAAAGGTTTTTTGATGCTTGAATTGTAATTTTCGATGAATTATGAAATGAGGCTTTACTTGTTTTGATAGGGCACCATTTTCCGTATAAATAAGTATCACATCTCATTGTCAAAGGCCATGGTTTTCTAGGGGCCGCAGCTTTATGAAGTTTTTTAAAGCCCCGCCACCCACTTCCACTTAAAAATGCAATTCTACCATTAGAATCGTGTGTAATCTCTTGCAGCTCTATTTATGACTTTGATGGTAGAATTTAAAGCTTTAGTATTCTTATCAATTTGATAAATCTATGAATACTTGAAATGCAGTACAAAAATATGTTATAAAATAGATAATTTTATGATTTAAATATTATTTCTTTCATATCCAGGATTGTCGAGATGAAGATGAAGAACCATTTTCTAATATTTTACGATGTTTGAGGCACGATATATAATGCAGATCCTTTGAAAATAATTTATCCCCCATGAGTTAGAGCAACCCAGATCCTAAGTTTTAGGGTATAAGCTCGGCTATAAATAAGGATTGTTAGAGTGATTTGATTTTTTTTTCATATCTATGATTTATGCCTCTACGTTATTTGGTATCAAAGCAATCTCGTTCTTAAAGCAACCCAGATGCTGCAACTTTATATGATGGCTGCTAGAGAAGCCCGAGTAGGCCAAGGTGTGGTGGTGGTTCAGGACCTACACGTGAGGATTCAAGTAGATCCTTGGTTTTTCTTCGTTTCTTTCTTATGGTTTTCGCGATTCCTCGTTATTTAGGGAGAATCGACTGGTTTTTCTGATAGAGTCTAGAGATTTTGTAGAAGTTGGTCCGATTTTGAATTTCATAAAAGGAATTGAAACGATCTAACCGATTTTGATCCGGAGTAGCGGCTTCTTTGACCCCAGTCATAAGTGCCATGAATACATGCAACTGATAAAATACCAATAAAAAATAAACAATAAAAAGAAAAAGAAAATTGCATCCCATAAACGATTGCAAAAGATGCAAAAATCCTCAATTCCACAAAGTGATTAAAATGAGAAATAACCCCATGAACATAATAGAGATTCCCTTAAGATCAAAGAGCTAAGGGGACCAACCCCAGAAAAAAATATTTTCTACATTGTAAAAATGGCTTAATCTAGAATTTAGGTGATGGGGTTCGGCGAGGAGGTGGAGGTGGCCGTAAACGAAATTGAGGCGGTGTAATGACAGTTCTCGGTGGGTTAGATTGGGGACTCGGACGGCTAGATTGGGAACTCGGACGGCTTCTTGGAGGGCTACGAGCACGCTGAAGGATAACCACCTCACGTGTATTGTATTCATTTTGAATTTGATCTCCTGCAATAGTTAAAAGCAGTGATTTAAAATTCATCGATCCAACTCAGACTCTACCCAAGTTAGTGAGCCCTATCACAGAGCAGATTATCGACTCGGGAGGAAAGACCTTGGGAACTCGTCAAATCTCGCCGGTTCCCAAGTTTTTTCCTTGTTTATTTTTTTCTCAAGATGCAGGTTGGGAAGTGAGTTCCTCGTTTAAAACACTGTTTAGAAGAGAGAAAATTTTCACTAACAAAAATTAAAAATTTGTAAATCAAGATCATGAATGGTATTACAACATTTAATAGAAAGTATTCTTACCAAATTGTGGAGGAGCTTGCTCATAAATATGCCTTGACGCCATAACAGGAAGTAGTAAAGCACACAGAAGGAAGGCTAAAATAGCATTCAACAAACCCTGCATTGTTTGTGGGTTTGGCAGTTCAGAAGAAACCTTATTTCTCTCAATATAACACGCACTCTCTCGCCTCGCCCTACTTTTATCTCAATGTGTATCTCTCTTTCTCTCTCTCTTTGCCTTTCATACTCAAATATATAACTTGCGCATTTACTTCCAACTTAAATTTGGGTTGGAACCATGCTGTGTAATTTCCTGAATAAAGAACCAAAAAGGTTGGTCTAGAATGACGGACCAGTTAGGCAGCTTTAGTGGCCAAAAAGTAGTGGTTTGTTGACCCAATAGTCTTAAGAGAAAATCACCTATCGTTCTCTTCTCGAAATTTTCATTGACCCAAAAGTCTTGAGAGAAAATCACCTACAGTTCCCTCCAAATTTTTCTCGAAATTTTCATCCTTGTTGGCCCAAAAGTCTCGAGAGAAAGTCACCTACACTTCCTTCCTCGAAATTTTCATCCTAAGAAACTTCTGCGTTCACGAAAATCTTTAGTACTTGCTCAAATTTAACCATAGCCGTCTTCATCAGATCAATGCTTGTTGGTGCAGCTGGATGGACCGTTGACGGATGCTTTGATAGGTCTGACAAATATTAAAAATAAATTTAATAAAAAATTGATCAAAATTAATGCTCGGTCGATTTTTGACAGATCCTGCAGTTTAATCATCGAAACCAAGTGGGCAACATTTTATTTTTTTTAATATATAACATATTTTCAAAGTGTTATTTTTTTTTATTTTGTTACTATTTTAAAAATCCAATCATATCGTTTCGACGGGCGGTCGTACCAAATTTACTTGGACTAGAACCCACATCAGTTTGATGACGGGTCATATCTTGATAACTGTGGTTTGAACCCCTTTGTGGTTTGAAATCTTTTTTTGTTTGTTTGTGGCCCCGAATATGAAATTTGGATCCACACTAGTAGATAATTGCATGCCTGAAATATATAGGTTATAGAAAATATGCAACACAATTAATGTTCAAAACTTGCCTTGAGCTTGGTTCCGGGCCTTGCCTGAGCCACGTAACTCTGGCATGTACGGATGGACTGCCAGTATAGTATTGTATGGGGCCAAAACAAAGCTTAAAAAATTAAAAATAAAACATTAAAAAGCATACTGAACTAAAAACAAAATTAAAAGTCAATAAGATAAAAAATATGAATTTAAAAAATAATTGATAGTTGAAGACATTTTAAAAAAATCGGGTGATATAAAAATAACGCATATGAGGAGAAAAACAAACAAATCATTGTAAAAGCATCACAATCCTATGTACATTAATTTTACAAATAATAAAAAAATTTAGGATTTTTTGTGGATAATTTTCTCGAGTTCTGGGCTTCGCCAAGGAATCAAGCCAAGTTTTCAATCGTTGTACATAAAAGATTTATTTTTGGGGCGTAAATCAATTTCTACTTTTCGTGAGCCCTCATTTTCAAAAGTCCAAATGATCAACTAAAGAAAGCAGTTGTTGCAACCTTCTTGTTGCAGCTTCGAAGTTTCTTTTCCTAATCCATACACGATTCCATAATGAAAAGGACCGCACTGACCCAAAATTCAAAGTTGTTGTCCTCTTGACCCAAACATCCTCTCTCTCTCTCTCTCTCTCTACTACCAAGACGCCCTTACC